CCCCAAAACCCCAAAACCCCAAAACCCCGAGATTTATAAAATTGATCGAATAATGGAGGTTGAAATTTAAGAAAATTAAAAAAATGTAATTGAGTAAACAAAAAACTATGAAAGCTGCCATAACTCGCCAAATAACCAAGCAAATTTCCATTGTAGAAAAGTAATCAAATCAGACTGCACAAGGTAAAGAATTCTAACAAAGAAAATTATCAGTTTGACTGAGTGATATTGGTATAGGTTCCAATTAACTGCAATTACAACAACAGATGATTAGTGATGGTAACCCACCACTAAGTACCTCTGTAGCCAAGGCAAATGATATTACAAAGCAATACCTTCAGCTAGGGCAATAAGATGTTACTATCAGCTCATAAAATAATAAAGGATAAGAAGAGGAAAGCATATTTACTAAGGTGAAGGCAAAACTTTTGGAATTCGAATAAAAGGAATAATAATATGAGAGTTTCAAAGATGCCTCTATTAAAAAAGATGCTACTGAAGATCTAGATGAGTTGAAATCTAAAAGTAAAAATTCAGAAAAAAGAAAGAGGAAGAGCTCATTTACTATGAAGACACTTCAATAAGAAAGACAAGATTTCATTACATCCCTTAGATCGAATTTCAAGTTCATTGTGGGCATAAATAATAAACAAACTATTAGAGATGAAAAGGGTCTCCTGAAGAATAAGGAGTGGAGAATAGACAGCAATATAGAGAAAAAGATTATTAAACCTACCCAGAAGATCACATACTGTATGAATAACATTGACAAGTTATTGAGTGAGAATATTAATTTTCAAAGCTATATGGATACATTACGAAGATCGAAACCATAGATGAGCCCACTGGACAATTTCAAGAACGGAGTTTCGGCAGCAGTAGCTATTGTAGAGATAACTAATGACATTGGGGAATCATTGATAAATTAAAAAATAAAAATTAATAAAGCAAACAGAGAGAAATCTCATTAGAACTAAGCCAAAGCTCAAAATCTAAATTAAACAATAAATCCCAATGATATGAAGACAACATCAGCTAGAATACCTTAGAAATATTATGGAGTCCTTGGATCTACGGTTGTAAGTTCACCTAGAGATCAATTTCTGAATAAGCATCAAATAGCAAACAGGAGTTACAATTAATCATTCCTAAAAAATGGCTAAGGCAATAACACTATTGCTTATCAATAGAATCAATCACAAGTAACTGAAAGCTTACCGCAAGTGAAATTCAATATGAATCAACTAAATACAACTAAAAATATTTAGAGGGATCATGATTCAACTATGGAAAGATTCACAGACGAATTTCTTAAGAATTCAGAGGATATTTAAAATGTTAAGCATCTTGAAAAACTCAAGAAACAAATGATTTTCTCTAAGTCTCTAAATTTCAAGAGAAGAAAGCATTAGAAAAATCAGTCTATTATAGCTGATGCTAATTAGTCTCTACTCTAAAAGTGTGATGTTTATCAAAAAGATTTCAGCAAACTCATTAAGAGAATGAAAAACAACAAAAAAAGTCTCTCTCCTTTAAAGTAAAACTCTATGGTCTTTAATAGAAGCTTATTTAGTAGAGATGTTATGATGGAGCAGGCCTATAAAAACGAGGGTAAAACTATTAAAAATAAGGGTTAAAACAGGTATCATAACTTAGTTTACTTGGAGAATTAAGATTCACCCATTGTCAAAGAATCCACTGCTACCACAAGTCGTAAAATTAGAAGAAAAAAGAAGTCGCTTACTAAAAAAAGCCAGCAAAGTGATGTTGAAGAATCTAAGGAATTTAGCAAAGATGGTGGATACAACTATTCAATAGATAGAGCGCAAACATTTAAATTTAGAGTTGAAGATACTAATCAAAGTCTAACAAATAACAACATGAGAGACTCACTTGATTTAAACCAGAATACTGCAGATTAAGTGCCTAAGTCTAAATTTGATAATACCTCAACTTAGCATAGCAAATACATGATCAATAAGGACTCATTTAATCATTTAATAGAGAAAGACATATCAAGCAAATTTGCTAAATAGGATGCATCATAGTTGAATGTTGAACGACTGACAAGAGAAACAGAAGTAGCTAGAATGAGGAGTATGTAGGGTAGCAGACACACAACTAGCATAGAGGCTTAAACTCTATAAAACGACATCGATGATAGCATGAGAAAGTAAAAACTTAAATCTTAGTTAGGTGAAAGAGTATAAAAGAATCGTTTGAGTCAGCAAAGGCAATCTGAAGAATATGAGATTAATAACTCAATTAATATATAGTGATTAACTGAATTTAATATTCCTAGACTTTACTATCTTATTTATCTATTCGGGGTTTTGGGGTTTTGGGGTTTTGGGG